CTCAAGCTCAAGCGCACTTGGGTTATGCAGCAGGACAATGATCCCAAACACACCAGCAAGTCCACCTCTGAATGGCTCAAGAAAAACAAAATGAAGGTTTTGGAGCGGGCAAGTCAAAGTCCGGACTTAAATCCGATTGAGATGACCTTAAACAGTCCATTCATGCTCGAAAACCCTCCAATGTGGCTGAATTAAAACAACTCTGCAAAGAAAAGTGGGCCAAAATTCCTCCACAGCGTCTGTGTCTGTCTGTCAATATGGGGTGCTGTGTGTACATTAATGAGGAAAAAAAATTAACTTAAATGATTTTAGCAAATGGCTGCAATATAACAAAGAGTGAAAAATTTAAGGGGGTCTGAATACTTTCCGTACCCACTGTATATATATATATAACATTTAGTCTTCCCATTTTTTTCCCTCATAAATCAACAATATATATATATGCAGGTACTGTATATAGATTTTTGGCAGTGCTGTAAACTACCAAACTGTGACAAGACTGCAAACTGCTCTAATTCAGTGCCCATGTTTGCAGCATTATTTGACCTGCATGATTCCTTTAGTGAATCAGGCGCTGAAGCAACACAGACAGTGAGACAGTGTGTGCAAAATAAACAGTGCATAGTCAGAGTGTAGGTTTCATACAACGGTTACATTTCTGAATCCTGCGTCTTTGTAGTGAGCTTTTATTGAAATGTGTTTGAGTTGCAGACAAAAGCATGACTCCGAGATGCTGAAAACCTCACGCGGAGAGTTTCAGTTCCACTGCGACTGTCTGAAGCTATTTAAGGAACTGTCAGGCACACTTTGAGGATTCGCCTCTTGCGCATACATGTGAGAACGAAAGAAATCAGCCAGAAAACAATCAGCCAGTTTGGCAGCTTTCTGTACATACAACACAGACTCGGTTCTGCCATTACTGCTGAAGTGGATTGTGTACAAACTGTAAACAAATCTTGATACTGGCCTCATTTTCTTCCGAAAATACCTTAAAAAGATTTGCATTCCAAATATAAACTACCTTAATTCCTGAAGGTGTTAAAGTTGAAGGGGGTTTAGTTAACATTAAGAAATGCATCAAAATCTGCACACTGAGGCCAGGGTTTGAGGAAGAAAACCAGATGGGAGGTGTGAACTGCAAATACATTTGACAGAGTTTCTCATGCATCTTAAGATGTAGGTGAACAGCCAGCTGTCTCTAAATGTAGGCCGTTTGTATGTGCTAAAGTGTATTTTAGTGATCATGCAAATAGGCGTATATGTACAGTTGTGCCATCCACATTTTGTTGGAACAGTGCAGAAATGTAGCCACGGTGCAACATTGCCCAGATGGTTCCTCACATTCACTGTAGCTTTAATTCTTTAACCATATTGTCCACTTTAAAAGCTTTTCCAATCCAGGCTCCTCTGCAGAATCTGTGTTTATGACTGCTCAATGAAGAAACAACCAGAAAGCTCAATTTTTCTGCTTTTCCCAGAGAAGATCATATTTTACGTAATAACACCATCAAACAATCCATATTTGACATTAAAGACATTTATAATGTTACAAAATATTTCTATTTCTAATAAATGCTGTTCTTTTGAACTTTCTATTCATCAAAGAATTCTGAAAAAAAAAGTATATATTTTTTTTTCACGAAAAAATAGTGGTGGGCGATATGACCAAAATCTTATATCATGATATGAATAATTTAATTTAACGGCAAGGATATGTATCACCATATAGTTATTTTTGCTTTAAAGAAGGTCTTTATGATATGAAAATTTTTTATACCATTGAAATTTCATAATTCTTGTCACCATGCAGTGTAAATATCACAAAAAAATAATACTAGCCTAAATTTAAAAAAACTCAAGCTCACTGAAGGCAAAAAAACAGCGATTAAATAAGAATAAGAAACTGATTACATGCAATAGGACAAAAAAAAAACTACAGTAAAACAAATAAATAAGAAATGTTACATACATTGCATAAAGTAATCAAATGTATAAAAACACTGCATATTCTTCACTGTGTAAATTAAATATATATTTCTTCTTATTAAAGTTACAAAAGTGATTTAGTCCAAGAGCAGTGAGAGATTTTTTTCTCTTTTGTTGTTTGATTAACATGAATGACAGACCGCAGGAATATTAGACTGCTGTCACTTTAAGAGCTGCCCAGATCCAATATACTGTTACACATGTTTTCTTTCTCAGCTGTTTGCTTTCACTTAAAACCTAAATTACTGTGTTTACGTGTATACTTGCAAAGATGGGCATTTTGACACATACAAATGTGTATGTATTTAACGGTTCAAGTCCTATAAAGCAGCAAAAATAACTCCGATAGCCTTGTGGGCAGCGTGCCAACATATGGCACAGTTTCGCTTCGGGTGTCCCGAGTTCAAATCCCGCCTTGTGGACCTTTCCCGATCTCGTCCCCCCTCTCTATCTCCCACTCGCTTCCTGTCATATCGCCACTGTCCTGTCAAGAAAAATGCAAAAAAAAAAAAACTTTGTTCAATACTCCCACGTTCTATGAGCACACAATGTATTCGTGACAACGTAGTACAGCAACGTGACGTGAGCATGTAACCGTGATAGAGATGATAGTCCAAAATCGTATCTACCAGTATATCGCCCACCCCTACGAAAGAATTAGCATTAAGCAATGGTTTTTAACATTGATAAATTATAAGAAATGTTTCTTGAGCAGCAAATTAGCATGATTTCTGAAGGATCATGTTAGTGCTGGGCGGTATACCGGTTCATACCGAATACCGGTGTTTATTTTTGTTATGATATTAATTTTTAAAATACTGTCAGTTATGTCGCTTAAACAACGTTCGGAACGCAACACTGTTTGAAAGGGTTCCCTTTTCACTGTTGTACTGTGGTGAGGGAACAGCTGTATGTGTTACTAAGCGTGAAAGTTCTGAAACTGAAGCTGTAGAACTAATAGAACGTGATGACACAGAAGAACTCATCCACAATATCCACATTGACCGCCACAAATATCCACCGCCCCCTGCCATCAGCTCCCGCGTCATTCAGTTGGCCGCACCGCAGCCTACTCGTCAATAAATGAGTATAAAACAGCGTTTCCTAGCACCTGTCGCTTACTGATTGTTTGGAATTATAAATATGAGCGTAGTTCTACGTAGTAGAACGTAAACAAACACTTTTTTGTTTTTTGTTTTTTTTTAGTTAGTTACTCAGACGCAGGCAGTGCGCTGCATGAGACAAAAAAGTAATATAGCCAAAACAACCGCATAGCCGCTCTTTAGTGTAGATGCATGTTGATTGTGTGACTCCTGGTTAACGTATTAAAAGGGGTCGTGTTTAGTCACTATTTAATGTGGTATTTTTTGACAATATTCACTCATCATGACAGTAAAATAGGGCATTCTAAGTTCACTATACGGCAGTATTTCCTCTCTCAATCAGTAGAAAATATGGTTAACACCCGGTCATGCATGGAAAAAAAATACCGTCATGTACCGTGAAACCAGTATAATTTTGAAAAATACCGTGATATAAATTTTTGGTCATACCGCCCAGCACTAGATCATGTGACACTGAAGACTGGAGTAATGATGCTGAATAAATTACATTTTAAAAGATATTAAATGGCTGTTTTGGTGAGCATAAGTGACTTGTGCTGGTGTCCTCATCAGGCTTTTTAACAAACGTACCCCACAAGACTTCCTTTATAAACCAACAGCATGGCTGTATTGGGTGACTAGCTAGGCTGAATTCATGCCGGTCTAACCTGGTCTTTTCAACATGGTTGTGATGAGGATGGCTTTTTAAAAAGTTAAAAAATCCACAGTTGCATGAAGATTGAGACAACCAACAGATCCAAAATGGTCCTTTAATACTAGAATCACAGTCCAGATGAAATCAATAAATAGGCACATTTACAAGAACGGGAAACTCTAAAGGGTGTTAGTGTGCAGGACATACAATACTTTGCATAGACTCAAGTGACTAAGCGTTGCAGGAAATGCAGAACAGGTGTGCATGTGACCATGATTATTAGTGTGCTGAATGGAACTATTGGTTCCATTCATTTTGGAATCCTGGTGAATTTTACATTTGAATCAAATGTGCACATTATATTACAGATTGAGCGGCGCCTTGAAAATGTGCGATTTGTCTCCCATAATGTGCACAAGAAGATGGTCATGTGTCTGCAGGGTAACGTGGGTTCAGATGTAGACAAGAGACATGTAAGTAACAGCAGCTTTTACATTTCCAATTCCCCCCAAAGTGCACACTTCTGAATTGTTTTTTTCCTCTTAGAAAAAGCTTCCTGTGACAGCCCTTTCACAATCCATGCTGGATGGAGGAAGTCAGCTCGGAGACGAGTCCCTCATCGGGTGAATTTATGAACTCTCTGACCCTTTGACAGACATACGTATCCTCCAAAACTATCTCATAATCTGGTCCATCTGACCTGTGATTCATAACATTAATGAGGGAACTATGAACATTCACTCTTCTCTGAGTCAAACAGAGACGGCGCTTTCAGGGACTGTTTCTGTTCTCATTAGCCATGTGACCAAACATCCCTGAATCATCTGTTTTGTCAGGCAGGCGGTGTATTTACGGGCCTGATCTGTGAAAATATAGAGTGGACGCATCATTATTACCCAACAACATTTGGTAGTTCAGTGAAATTCATAATAGAGTGATGTGACATTAAATTATTATTGTTCATGATGGAATATGTGACCTCATGCTGCTTGATGATGATTGGTTGATAATGTTAGATTAGCAAGAGTACATTGTTTTTTGCATTATGCTAGTTGTGTTTGATATTATTTTAAGGAATATCATACAAGATACTTTTTTTCACCCATGTTTTCGTTTAAACAATATACAAGTTCTGTTGTGCAGCACCTTTTTACAAAAAAATAAAACTGCACTGTTTTGTTGTAAATTTATTTTAATTTAATCAACTTTTTAAAAGATTGATTAAATTGTTAAAAGTCTGATACATTTATTTCATTAGGCTTATTTAAAAAATATTTTTGCTTTGTTAAACCATAAACACAGGCCCTAAATTAAATGGTAGCTTATTCAATACATATTTTATTTATTTTAAACATGTGTGCATTGTGAAGTACTAATAAATCATAAACACAGAATCCCAAAAATAAATAAACAGAAAACACAGAATATGGGAATTATTTTTCAAAATCAAATCATAAACACGGAATCCAGAATCTGTGGAGTTTACTTTTAAACAAACGAGTTATGGTAACATTCATTCTCAAGGTCTAACAAACATGTGAAATGCATTTCCTTCATTAATTGTTCAAAATTAATATTGTGATCAATATCGAATGATATGGAAAACGATACTGTGATAATATTTTTGGCCATTATGCCCGGCTCTATTATTAGAATCTGTTTAGCATTCAAGAATAATAAACGTGACCAGGCAGCATGATGTGAACAGTTATTGATATTGTATCTACAGAAAGATGATGGAAGTCTGTGGAGAAGCTGAAAACAAACTGGCCTTGGAGCAGAGCCAACATGAAGTTCAGCTGGAGAGAGATATTCTGGAGCCTCTCAACCAGCTGGCGGAGGTACGTAAAGCCAAAGACATGCAAATAATAATAAATAAAATATGCTGTAGGTTACATATCTTGTTTTTGTGCTTGAAGGTGGATATTCCTAACATCCTGAAGCAGAGGAAACATTTAGCCAAGCTTGTGTTGGATTTTGATTCTGCAAAAGCCAGGTGTGTATATTTTGCTATAGTATATATACTATATAGTGTTCTAGATAAGATGCATTAAATTGATCAGAAGTGACGGTAAAGATGTTTGTAATGTTGCAAACATGTGACTCTGAAGACTGGAGTAATGATGCTGAAAATTCAGCTTTGCATCACAGGAATAAATGACATTTTAACATGTATTCAAATAGAAAACAGTTAATATAAATTGAAATAATATTTCTCAATATTACATTTTTTACTGAATTTAAAATAAATTAGGCCTTGGTGAGCATAAGCGTCTTTGCTAATAATAATAGCGAAAATACTTTAAACTATACAGGTATCAGCAGGTCACAAAGGCATTTCCGACAGCTGCAAATGCTCAAGCAATGGCTGCCAAAGTTGACACACTTAAGGAGGAGATGGATGAAGCTCAGAACAAAATGGAAATATGCAAGGTATGGGTATGAGTCAGACTGTATTGAGGTTTCTAGGTGACCTTGTGTAGCACATTCAATCTCGTCTGATCTCTTTTTATCTTTAGGATCAAGTGGCAGCAGATATGTACAACTTTTCGTCCAAGGAAGGAGAATATGCCTGCTATTATGTGTTGGTAAGTCGTTTCTTAGAGCTTTAACCACATAAGACAAATAATGTCTGATAAAGTTAGATTTTTATTGGTATAATGAATTTAACTTGCAAATAAGGCATCAGAATGATGCAGAAAGTATAACACTGGTTATCAGTAAGAAACCGGTCAAAGGTCAGTGGTATTCATAGGTCTTCCTACTATACGCTAGTAGTTATCGTCTGGTCAGTGGAGTTCATTTGAATGAATAAAGCTGTTGTTTTATATATTATATTCTACAAAGTGTATAGGCAATTAGTAGATCATTGAGTCATCGACTTTTCCTCTTCTCAGACAAAAATAGAAGAAGAGTGAAGTTTTTGTGTATTTGTCTTGACAGTTGTTAGAAGCTCAAGCTGAATACCACAGAAGAGCTTTGGCGTCCATCGAGAGCGTCCTGCCCACCATACAGTCACAGCAAGGTGTGATATTTACTCTTCACTTCCTGCACTGAGCATCTGCTGGATATGAATCACTCACAACACTTCTGAAATCATGACCTTATTAATAGCTATTAAACACAGAGAATATTATGGGGGATGTGTTTTGTGTTCTGAAACGGAGAAAATATTTATCTGATCTGTGATCTCTATAATTTCCAAACTTAGTCGCAAGTGACTCACTAACTATAAGAGTGAATCTCACAAAATCTGTCAAGAACATGTCTGCCTGGGGCATATTTCAACCCAAAACCAATATATATGTGTGTGTGTGTATATATATATATACGGTGGTGTGAAAAAGTTTTTGCCCCCTTCCTGTTTTTTTAATTGTTTGCCTATTTGTCACACTTAAAAGATTCAGATCATCAAACAAATTTTAATATTACACAAAGATAACCTGAGTAAATACAAACTGCAGTTTTGAAATTATGATTTCATTTATTAAGGGAAAAAAGCTGTCCAAACCTGCCTGGCACTACGTGAAAAAGTAATTGCCCCCTAAATCTAATAACTGGTTGTGCCACCCTTTGCAGCAACAACAGCAATCAAGTGTTTGCGATAAATGGCAATGAGTCTTTCACAGGAATTTTGGCCCACTCTTCTTTACAGAATTGTTTTCATTCAGCCACATTGGAGAGTTTTTGAGCATGAATGGACTGTTTAAGGTCATGCCACAGCATCTCAATCGGATTTAAGTCTGGACTTGGACTTGGCCATTCCAAAACCTTAATTTTGTTTTTCTTGAGCCATTCAAAGGTGGACTTGCTGGTGTGTTTTGGATCATTGTCCTGCTGCATAAACCAAGTGCGCTTGAGCTTGAGGTCACAAACTGACGGCCGGACATTCTCCTTCAGGATTTTCTGATAGAGAGCAGAATTCATGGTTCCATCAATTATGGCAAGTCATCCAGGTCCTGAAGCTGCAAAGCAGCCCCAGACCATCACACTACCACCACCATGTTTGACTGTTGGTATGATGTTCTTTTTATGAAATGCTGTGTTGGTTTTACGCCAGATGTAACGGGACACACACCTTCCAAAAAGTTCAACTTTTGTCTCATCAGTCCACAGAATATTTGCCCAAAAGTCTTGGGGATAAACAAGATATTTTTTGGCAAATGTGAGACAAGCCTTTGTGTTCTTTTTGGTCAGCAATGGCTTTTGCCTTGGAACTCTCCCATGGATGCCGTTTTTGCCCAGTCTCTTTCTTATTGTTGAATCATGAACACTGACCTTAATTGAGGCAAGTGAGGCCTGCAGTTCTTTAGATGTTGTTCTGGGTTCTTTTATGACCTCCTGGATGAGTCGTCGTTGCGCTCTTGGAGTAATTTTGGTAGGCCGGCCACTCCTGGGAAGGTTCACCACTGTTCCAAGCTTTCTCCATTTGTGGATAATGGCTCTGACCGTGGTTCGCTGGAGTCCCAAAGCCTTAGAAATGGCTTCATAACCCTTTCCAGACTGATACATGTCAACTATTTTGTTTCTCATCTGTTCTTGAATTTCTTTAGATCGCGGCATGATGTGTTGCTCTTTAAGCATGCTTCACTTTGTCAGACAGGTTCTATTTAAGTGATTTCTTGATTCAACAGGTCTGGCAGTAATCAGGCCTGCGTGTGGCTAGTGAAATTTAACTCAGCTTTCTAAAATAATGTGGTTAATCACAGTTCTTTCATGATTTAAGAGGAGGGGCAAATAATTTTTCACGTAGGGCCAGGTAGGTTTGGACAGCTTTTTTCCCTTAATAAATGAAATTATCATTTAAAAACTGCATTTTGTATTTACTTGCATTATCTTTGCGTAATATTAAAATTGGTTTGATGATCTGAATCTTTTAAGTGTGACAAATATGCAAAAAATTAAAAAAAACAGGAAGGGGGCAAAAACCTTTTCACGGCACTGTATAATGAATATTTGATTATTTTTTTGTATCTAACGGTGTTGCCCCATATGTGATCAAAGTAAAAACACAAATTTTATAAGAAAATGAAAGAAGCCGGAGACTCCAAACATAGAAAAGCTCTGAGAAATGTTGGACGGATAAATCAAAAATAATTCCTTGATTCATAAATTAATTTTTTTTTTTTTCAATTCTGTAGCCTGTTTTGACCCAAAACACAAGAATCGGTGAGATATTATGTCATATACAGATTCAGACTTCTGTTAAAGTGCAAAAGAAACATGCCAATGTGGTAAAAGGGAGCACATAATTGCTTTGAAAGGGAAGTGTTAATGTTCCAGTGAGTCTTCTAGGAGCAGCAATCTTCATTTAACCACAATTCTCCACTTTTTCTCCTTCCTAGTGTCTTGAAATTGTCCCTTAAGAAGGCCAACCTGCTGACAAGTCCCATCTAGTCATTGTGCCTCTTAAAGTATCTTTCCTCCCCGCTAATCAAAATGACTCTCT